CTTCTATTTTTTTGAGGGACCTCCAGAGTGGCTGCACCAGTTTGCATTCCCACCAACAGTGCAAGAGGGTTCTCCTTTCTCCACATCCTCGCCAACACCTGTCGTCTGCTGTGTTGTTAATTTTAGCCATGGAATTTACATTTTAAAAACCACACTTAATTTTTCATTCTTCATGTACTTAGTATATATAGTATAGACATTTTCCCTTTCTGATCTAAGTAACAAATGACCTGTATCTTATTGTTTTGTTTGTTTGTTATGAATGAAATTGGCAAGAAAGAGAAAAGGACCACTCTAATTGGTCAGGAGGTCACTACTAACATAAATCAGTCTGGTAAAACTGCATTTAAAAAATTATTCTCTAATCATTCTCATAAAAAATCTTTATTATAGTTTCTCATATTTGATGAAGGAGAAAAGGATTAGTTCAGAAGTCAATCAGCAAGTAGACAACAGAGTAAGGAACTTAGTCTTCAGATTTTAGTCCATTTCGTGCATTATCCACACTTAGTGTATATCCCACACACACTGTGACAGCCAGTTCTTCTGGTCCACTTGCAGAATTGTAACTCGTAAGACATTTTATAAGATTAGTTCAAGTTTATTGATAAACATTGCTTGTAATACACTCTTTTCTTATCCCAGGTAAATATTCTCATTCATCTGATGGAGTTTGATTCTTCCCATTAGAAGGTAAGGAATTCCAAGCAACTAAAAATTCTCTAGAAGTTGTATACGCCACCTAAATGAAACTATGGTTTCACAAACCCTAGGTATCTGATTTTAAAAAATCATTCCTTAGAAACTATACATGCTATTTACTGCTTTTTATAATTATTGGATTACCTAAGTGTAAATGATTCAGTACAGACTTGGATGTTTGATTTATGAACATTTGTGCTGGGTAAGTATGCTTGCAGTCTTACAATGATCAAACGGCTGTAATGTTGGCTTGAAGATTTCATGTAACTTTATTCGCCCGCCTACTCAAGGTACCAACCATGAAACACTGTACTTGCATTAGAGAGCATGAGTGCTCAAAACCTTGTATAATGAATGGATCATATATGGAGAAGTAGTAACAACTAAAATTATATAATACTATTAGCCATTCCTTTACTGTGTTTGTCACAATCTTATGAGCTGATAACTAACATTTAATGAGCATCAGGCATGGAGCTATGCACAATTTATGTGCACCATCTTAGTTTGCAGAATTACCTTGTAGGGTAGGTGCTATTACATATCTCAGGAAACTGAGGCACAGGCATTAGATCACACAGAATTATCAGGAGAGGAGTCAAGATTTGGACTCTCATCTGCTAGTCTTATCATTATGTGCCTATTAATGTTAATAGAACTCAACAACGTTATCACTTGAATTGGTTGAAGTTTGAATCTTCAAAAGAGAATATATTTTTTTTCTTTGGCTCACTTACCCTCAAAGTTACTAATAGTCATGATTTAGACTATGTGGTGGACCTAAACCTCTTAATTTTTTTTTTTTCTGATTTGCTTGTTTTCAGGACACCCAAATGTTTGATTTCAACCTTAAGCAAACACAGTATTTCCACTAAAAATAGGCTAGACAAATTGGCTTAGCCTTTTCCCTAATGGCATTGAATAAAGCTGGTTAATGTGTGGCACGTAGATACCTAATAGAGCTTTTAGTAAAGCAAATCATGCTTAAACCTAGGACTAGTCTGTTTTTTAAGTACAAGGCTCTCCGCTGTCTTCACAAGATAGAGCGAACCCATGGAGGTGCGGTGCTTTCTGTAGATGGCTAATAGCTTTAAAAAAGTGCTCAGTAACCAGATTAACAAAGCACTATTATTAGGAACTTGTCTCCTTGCCTCATTTCATCCTAATGGATTGAGCTATATACCCAGGATTTCTTTCTTTCTTTCTTTTTTTTTTTAAGATTTTACTTATTCATTTGAGACACAGAGGTACATAGAGAGAGAGAGAGAGAGCATGAGTAGGGTGAGAGGCAGAGGGAGAAGGAGAAGCAGGCTCTCCGCTGAGCCAGGAGCCTGATGTGGGGCTCGATCCCAGGACCCTGGGATCATGACCTGAGATGAAGGCAGATGCGTAAGCATCTGAGCCACCCAGGCGCCCCTATACCCAGGGTTTCTAAAGCACCTAGAGACTTAGTCCAACCCCATTCACTCTTTTCATGACCTGGGTTACTAGTCTTTCATTTTCCCAACTAATACTTGTTAATGTCTGCTTTGAAATTCCCAAACCTGTCTTGTGTTGAAATTTTTATAGTAGATGACTCTTAACTGAATCACCTATCACAACAAGGGTGATCTTTGGAGAGAACCATCTGTTTAAGCATTACCCTAGAATTTCCCCCCCAGGATTACTTTTGAAGCCACTCCTTTAAAAATGTAAACAGGTGGACACTGCCCACTGGCTGCAGCCTGTCCTGCAGCCTCCCAGTCTCCCGTGGCCACCTCCCTCAGGCATGGCAGGGCCTCGCCTCACTCTTGCAACAGCATGGCACAGCACGCTCAACTTCATGCTCAGCATCAAAGCTGATGGTGAGACCATTCTAAAAGGTCTCCAGTCCATTTTCCAGGAGCAAGGGATGACAGAGTCTACACAGCTGGCAAGACCATGGTTATTTAGCGACCTACATAAACAAAAATGGCAGCCTTGCCCATTTGAGCATTTACCCACATGGATTGGTGGTGTTGGACCTTCAGAGTTACGATGGTGATTCACAAGGCCAAGAAGTTGACAGTCTTTTGAACAAAGCAGAAGAATGAAAGAACTGAAGACAGTATTGGGTGGGGGAAGCGATTACCACCCATTGATTCAGGAGGGGCCATGGACAGATACTGGCCCACAGCTAATGGTTGCCTGGTTGAGTATGACATAGATGAAGTGGTGTATGATGAAGATTCACCTTTTTTTTTTTTTTAAAGATTTTATTTATTTGACAGAGAGAGTGAGAGAGGGAACGCAAGCAGGGGGAGTGGGAAAGGGAGCCTGATGCGGGGCTCAAACCCAGGACCTGAGATCATGACCTGAGCCGAAGGCAGTTGCTTAACCAACTGAGCCACCCAGGCGCCCCTGATGAAGATTCACCTTATCAGAGCATTAAAATTCTACACTGGAAGCAATTTGCGAATATTCTCATCTTGGCGGGGATGTTAATCTGGCGGGGAATGATGTGGGTATACCCAGGCTATCATGGCAGTGGAAAAGACTATAGTGGCAAAGATGCACTGATTCCAGGGGGCGGAGATGGGGGCATATTATGTGAAAGTGTCAAACTGAAACCAAAGATGGTCACTGTGGTAGAGATTGACCAAATGTTGGTCGATGGATGTAAGAAATACATGCAAAAAACATGTGGCGACGCCTGAGACAATCTTAAAGGAGACTGCTCTCAGGTCCTAACAGAAGACTGTATCCTAGGGCTGAAGAGAGAGTTTGATGTTGTGATAAATGATTTGATAGCAGTTCCAATCTCTACATCTCTAGAAGATTCCACATGGGAGTTTCTCAGACTGATTCTTGACCTCTCAATGAAAGTACTGAAACAGGATGGGAAATACATGACACAGGGCAACTGTGTCAATTTGACAGAAGCCCTGTCACTCCATGAACAGCTTGGGCGCCTGTATTGTCCTGTGGGATTCTCAGAGGTCGTCTCTTCTGTCACACTTGGAATTGTGGGTATTTTACAGTTTGTAAGAAAGCTGAACCTTGAAGACCAGTATCCCCTAATCATGTGTGCTGCAAATAGCCCTCCTAATCTTCATATGCTGTACATGACACTGAAATGAGTCTGGCAGTTGTGAATTCAAGTTTTATTTATTTTTAATTTAAAAAAAGCAAATGGAAAAGTATATTTTGATGAGGTAGGGTGTTACTTTTTTTAAGTCAGCTGAAGGATGATTAGACAGCACAAGCAAAGGCTGGTAAATGCACGGAACCCCTAGAATGTGATTTTTGTTAGTTTTTTGTGTGTGGGCTTTTTGTTTTTGTTTTGGCAGACTTCAAATTTGGTCGTTTGGAGGCATGAACATCATTGTTTTGTTCTGGAGGGAAGTTCTTGATGGTGTTTGTTTCCTAAAAAATTGACTTAGATACTAAAATTTGGTGCTTAAGAGAGTTAAGAAAAACCAAATAGCAATGCTTCAAATAAAATTATGAGAAAACAATGCAAACAGGTGATCAATGTAACTGTCACTTCTTAAAAACAATTTTTGTTGTCCATATGTAGACAGGCAGTAGAACTAGTTTTCAGTGAAAACATTTGGAAACACCTTCTAGACACAAGATGTCAATGGCTACTGCTAACAAAATGTGCAACAAAAAATGTCTCTCTCGCATTTCTTCATCTACACAAGCTTTGCTTCAGGATTAGTTCCGATTTTGACTGTGTAGAATTACTGAATTTTAGAAGAATGCACGTAAGGCTTTTGTTCCAGAATAGTCCATGTGGACCACCCACAATCATATTCTAAAATGCATGCAAAAAGGCATTTTACAGAGGCAAACAGACTCCCAAAATGGCAAAGCAACTAGTTCAAGTTTATTCAATGAATCTGACAGCTGTCCCGGCTCATGGTCCTACATGCTGCCATCAGGCTTCAAAGCTGACCTGAGGCCGGGTGACGGTGACACACTCTGCAAGATCTGGAGGCCAGTAAAGCCTTTCCTGAGAGCATTTGGGGTGAGGGGATCTAGAGCTTATATAATTTACAATTATACTTGTGTATATATGTGTGCCTATAAAGTTTTAGCTACATACAAAGGGCTTTTTCCTTTCCTTTTCCCAAACCTATGGTATGGTATGGTGTAGAACACAATGCTGTTAAGTAATTCCATAGAAAGAAGTTTCCACAGCCCAAAGAGATGGGAAACACTGCATGTTATATCCCCATTGCAAACATTCTTGGTGGATCAGGAAGCGTATTTGCATATAAAGGGTTGAACAGTCCTGTAGTAAAGAAATACCTTTTTAACTCCGTAGTCTCTGAATTTGGTTATTAACCATTTTTCCCCCCTCAATAGCTCTCAGACATTATATGAAACTAATCCTTTTTTTTTGCAGAACACTTTTTTGAGAAAGGCTATTCTAAATGTCTATCAAGAGTATACTCTTTAAACATGGTACATTTTAATGAGATTATGTCTTAAGATAGCATAAAAACTTGTTAATAAAGAAAACGTCCAGGATACAGCTTGTGAAAGTAAAAATTTTATTTTGATTGATTTCTCAATGTATAGTTCAATATAATGCCAGTTTTTAATGGCAAAAATTTGGTTCCACTGAAACTCCATGATGCTACAGAGAGCTACTACTTTTTCCAGGAAGTAAACAGCTGGAAATAGAAAAGCACAACTTTCTAGCAGCATGGCAACTTATTAAACTGCAGACCTAACAAGCCTGCAACTTTTATACTAAAAATGGCACAAACATGAGCTGGTGACAAAAGTGAGAAATGGAGAAGATGTGAACACCAAAAGGAGCAGTATAGGTACTGTGAAGACAACAAAAAACCAAATATAGCTATAAGAATTTTTAAGGATAATTATAGAAAAGGGAACCAAATGTTTTACTCAAATATTTTTTAGAGCCTTTCTGTAGAGATACAAATATATATATATATATTTATCCAAAAATATGTTTTATACAGATAAATGCTTCTCAATTAAAGATGGGACCAAAGCTATAGTTATAACATAAAGCACTGTCTTTTGTAAGACTATTTATCCAACTGAATTTTCAATTTAAGATTAGTGCAGTAAATGTTTTCCAAATATAATTACCTGACATTTTTTTTATAGATATAAATCAAGTAGGCATTATTTTTAAAAAGGGTTTGCAGGTTAAACAATATTTTTCTAAGATGCTGTGCATATCGACCTTATAATAAGCCCTATTAAGAATCATTATTAATAAACATATCAAAAAGGGCTATAGTCAGATTTGCTTCTTTATAGTAAATATTTAATTTTCTGATTTCCAGTTTACAAGTGTTGAAAATGTACAAGAAAGATTTTACTTCACAGGTACTTTTATGTTCATGTATTTTGATTCAATATATATGGCAATAAATCTCCACACATCGTAACCAAGAGTATGTTTTCTTTTTTTTAAATGGGGATGTAACATTAACAACCATTACCTATAAAATAAAGCACACAATTATTTTAGTGAATTTACAAATCTTTTTTCCCAGGTGTAAAGACTACAAAAATTCCTAAAAATTAGAGAACACTGAAAACATATTAAAGTTTGACTTCCAACTTTATAGTATTTCCATTTTACCCTGAAAGATAACTTAAAAAATATGACCTTGCTGGAACAGGCCATCTTGCTAATATAAAAAATTGGTGAGAGCAAGAAATTTTACCACTGATATGTAGAATTTTTGTAAATAGTTCTCTCTCCCAAATCATTAGAAAAACATTCAAAGGTAAAAAACAAAATAAAATATGGTGGTGGTCCCTAAACTATTTTGAAGGCAGGTAGCTTAGTCTAAGCTAAAATATTTTTCTCACTCATAGTAATCATCCTTCCCTCAAATGCCCTTTAAAAAAATGCATGAAACAGTACAATAGCAAGAATCAAAGAGCACAAACTGTATTTTCAAGGACAGAAAAAATCTCTAGTGCTGAAAGATATAGTAAAAAGCAGATTTCTTTGGGGACATTAATCAATTAGATAATAATTCATTATGAAGATTTCTCTTTTCTATTACGGGGGGAGTCTGCTCCATTTGAAGTTACTGTTCCATTTACACCATTTTCTGAAAAGAGAAAAGAATCAGTATTACTCTCTTTTATAAAGAAATGCAAATAGTATCGTATTTATACATAAAAGTACCTTCAGAAAAGAAAATTTAAAAACCCAATAAATATCGGTATGCCCTTATGTAAAACTTATTTGGCAGTAATAAACCCTTACTAGTATTTAACCAATCATAAAACCTGGTAACACGTTAAACATAATAAACTAAAAGTAGCAAAATTTTTCAAGATTTTATTTATTTGAGAGAGAGTGTGAGGGAGAGGGAGAGAGAATCTGAAGCAGACTCTGCCCTGAGCACTGAGCCCAACATGGGCCTTGATCCCACAACTGTGAGATCATGACCTCAGTTGAAACCCAGAGTCAGATGCTTAACCAACTGAGCCACCCAGGTGCCCCTAAAAGTAGTACATCTTAAAAAAATAACTGTCAATTGCATCTCAGTAAAAAATAAAGCAATTACTATTGAAAGCAGAAAAAAGTGATAGAAGACAGAGAACTCTAAAAAACAATGACAAGAATTTTAAAATAGTAGTCTTAAGAGCAGTACTTTTGGTAGCAATAAAGAACCTTTTCACATTTGTCTGTAAACAAAGTTCTTGGGGTTATGTTTCTTTATAAGACATAAAGTCAGTGTTCAGGATAACTTATGTTTAGGAGTGTACTATGGCTGCCTTCTTCAAGTTATGATGGAGATATCTATTGATCGATCGATTGATCTGTAATTATTGTTAGACTAACCCTCCCTCCAAAAATATCCATAAAAGTTGGAATACAAAAATGCCTCTTTGAAGGAAAAAAAAAAAAAACCTGAAGGCTGCTCTGCGTATTTCTCCCATAAGGTATGTGACAATTACTGAATGTGCACACACAAAGCAAAACTCAGAGAAATCAAGCAGCAAGCAACTCCTATGCAAATACAAAGCTAAACAGAGAACTGCTTAGTCTCATAATGACAGCAAGAAAAAAATCTGAATCCAGAGTCTGTCAGAGAACACAAACTGTACAAATGGTTGATGTTCTAGGAATGAGGGCAAACTGGGAATAGATCAGTTTTGACAGGATAGAATGATCTACCCATATTCAATCCAGAGCCTCTATAAACTCGTCTAGAACCTACACACATTTTTACCATAAAACGTCCAGTATTCAATTAAAAAATTGCCAGGCATCCCGGAAAGCAAGACCAAATGACTAAAAACTAAGAGAAAAAAATGCATCAGGAATAGAGCTTTGCTCTTTTCAGCCAGCACCAAGTGATGGGCATCTGTTGGGATAACTGGCACAAGCCCTGCAAGACCAGGGGCAAGAGAAAGCCCTTCCACAAGAAGCAGAAGTATGAGCTGGGATGCTCTGCCCCATACACACAGTCCCAATCTAGGGAGGCAATAAGAAGTTCCCTGCCTTGAGGCTGGGTGTGAGAATTTCTCCTGGCGCTCTGAGTGTTGGAAGCACCAAAGAGGCATTATTGATACTGTCTATAAAGGATCCAACAATGAATTAGTAGTCCACACCAAGACCCTGGTGAGGAACTGTACTGTGCTCATTGACAGCACACCATCCTGACAATGGTATGATTCCCACTATGTACTACCTCTGGGCTGCAAGAAGGGGGTTAGGTTGACTCCTAAGGAGGAAGAGATTTTAAACAAAAAAGAATCAAAGAAAATTCAGAAGAAATATAATGAAAGAAAAAAGCAAGCAACAATGAGCAGTCTTTTGGAGGAGCAGTTCTACCAGAGCAGGCCTCTTGGGTGCATTGCTTGAAGACCAGGCCAGTGTGGCTGAGCAGAGGGCTATGTGCTAGAGGGCAAGAAACTGGGGTTCTATTTGAGGAAAATCAAGGTCCAGAAAGCAAATAAATCATCCTCCCTCCTATCTTCAACTTACGTAACAAAGGTGTTTACTGTTGAAAAGAAAAGAAAAGAAAAGGAAAGGAAAAGAGAAAAGAAAAGAAAAAGATCCTCAGCTGATCCACATCTGGAGCTATCAGATAGGGATATTAAAAGAACAATGAGTAATAAAAATAAATGAAAAGATGGAGAATTTCATGAGAACTAAAATCTTTAATCCTAGAACTAGAAAATACAGTAAGTGAAAATAAAGACTTGATGAATTTAATAGCAGATTAGGCACAACAGAAGAAATCAATGAACCAGAAAAAATACTTAGATTGAAACTCAGAAAAAAAAGGGATAAAAATGCAGAAAAGCATGGACAGGGTAAAAGGGTTTAAAACATATATTGGAGTCCCAGAAAGACAGGAGAGAGAGAATGGGACAGAAGAGTATTTGAAGAAATTATGGTCAAGAATTTTCCAAAAACGATAAAAGAAGCCAAGCCAAGATTCAGGAAGCTCTATATGACAGAGAATAGGATAAATACAAAGAAAATCATACCCAGGCACATCAGTATAATTCCAAAAACAAAGACAATAATTATCAGACAATTAAATCCAATTATATGCTGCTGACAAGAAATGCAATTTATATTTAAGGATAAAGAAAGGTTTAAAGTAGAAAAATATAGAAAAAGATACACCATAACATTTTACCAAAAGAAAGCTGGTGTAGCTATAGTAGTAAATTCAGACATTTACTAGAGATGAAGACGGATATTCAATAAAAGGAAAGGATAAATTCAACAGGAATTTACAACAACCCTAAATTTTGATACACCTATAATACATCTTCAAAATATTTAAAGCAAAAACTGGTAAGCTACAAGGAAAAGGGGTATCTCCTGCAATAACTGACTGAACAAACAGAACTCCTACCAAATCAGTAAAGATATAGATTGAACAATACAACAAATCTGACCTGATATTCAACATAAAACCCAAGAAATTCAGAAAACACATTCTTTTGAAGTCTAAATGGAACATTTACAAAACTGAACACATGCTGAGCCATAATGAAAGTCTCAACAAATTCCAAAGAACTGAAATCATTCAGAATATGTTCTTTAACCATAATGGAATTAAGCTAAAATCAGTAACAAAAAGAAAACTAGAAAATGCCGAAGTAGTTGTAAATTAAATGATGCATTAATAAATGATTGATCCATGGGTCAAAGAAATCAGATTGGAATTATAATATCCTGAAGTGAATGATAATGAAAAAGACATATCAAAATCTGTGAAATTCAATTAAAGCATTGCTGAAAGGGAAAGTTTGCCTTTAATTCTAAGTAATTCACGAGATGGGCAGAAAATCAATGATGTAAAGATCCATCTGAAGAAGGTAAACCACAAATAACAAAACAGCAAATCAAGCCCAAAGAAAGGGAAATAGGAACAAAAATCAATGATATGACTAACAAAATCAACAAAAAAGCCCACAAATGTTAGTTCTTGGCTAATGGGGAAAAAAAAGAGAAGAGCATAAATTACTAACATAGGAAATAAAAAATAACACTATTCTACACAAATGAATAAGACAATATTATAATTTTACGAATGCACTTGCAAAGTTAGATGAAATGAAAAAATTCCTTGACAAACACAACTTTCCAAAAGAGACACAATAAAGAATAAAAATCTGAATAATCCTATTATCTATTAAAGAATGTAAATCTATAGGTAAATATCCTACCCTAGAGAAGATTCTAGGTTAGGTGGCCTCCCTGGTAGATTCTTCCAAACATTTAAGAAATAATGCTGACATCACACAAAAGATAAAACTGCCCAATACTTTTATTTATAAAGCCACCATAACCCTGACACCAAGATCTGATAGGAACATTACAAAAACAAAACCAGGCTAGTTAGAGGCCAATCTTTTCTATGAACACAGGTGCAAAAATTCTAAAAAAATACTGAAAACACCAATCTACTAGAAGTGATGAATCGTCATCAACTTGAATTTATGTCAGAAATGCAAGATTGGTTTTACATTTGAAAATAATATATATTACCAAAAAATACACATCAATATCCTTTATGAATATAGATATAAAAATGCTCAATAAAATACTAACAAATCAAACAACATCTAAAGAGGATTATATACCATGACCAAATGAGATTTATCCCAGGAATGCATTGTTGGCTTAACATTCAAAAATCAATTAATAGTAATACATGGTATCGGACTCCTGGGTGGCTCAGTGAGTTAAGTTGTCTGCCTTCGGCTCAGGTCATGATCTCAGGGTCCTGGGATCGAGTCCCGCATCAGGCTCCCTGCTCAGCGGGGAGTCTGCTTCTGCCCCTCCCCCGCTGCCTGTGTTTTCTCACTCTGTCAAATAAATAAATACAAAATCTTTAAAAAATATGGTAATACATGATATCAATAAAATGAAGGACAGAAACCATTTGATGATTTCAGTAGATGCTGAAATAGCAAGTGACAAAATCTAACATCCTTTCATGATAAAGATACTAGTAAACCAGAAATAGAAGGGAACTTCCTTAAGCTGATAAAGGCATTTAGGAAAACCCACAGGTAACATCATACTTAATGGTAAAGGACTAGATGCTTTCCCTCATAATATCAGGAACAAGATGAGGATGTCTGTTCCCACCACTTCCGCTCAACATTGTTTTGGAGGTTCTAGGCAGGGCAATTTGGCAAGAAAATGAAATAAAAATCATCCAGATTAGACAGGAAGAAGTAAAACTATTTCCATCTGCAGATGACATGGTCCTGCATACTGAAAATGCAAAGGAATCCACACAAAAACCCCACTACTAAATAATAACCCTAAAAAGTTCAGCGATGTTGCAGGATAAAAAAATCAATATGGAAAAATCAGTAATATTTCTATATACTGGCAATAAACAATCCAAAAAAGAAATTAAGAAGACAATTCTATTTACAGTATCATCAAAAAGAATAAAATACTTAGGAATAAAAAGAAGTGCAAGACTTATATATGGATAACTACAAAATTTAACTAAAAGAAATGAAAGAAGACCCAAATAAATGGAAGGACATCCATGTTCCTATTTTTCAAGGGAATCGACAGATTCAAAATCATCCATATCAAAAGCCCAGCTGGCTTTTGCAGGAACTGACAAGCTGATCCTAAAATTCATATGGAAGTTCAAAGGACCCAGAATAACCAAAGTACGAAAAAGAACAAAACGGAGGACTCACATTTCCCGATTTCAAAACAAACTAGAAAGCAACAGTAATCAAGACAGTGTGGTACTGGCGTAAGAATAGGCATAATGAACCATGAAAGACTATGGACTCTGAGAAACAAATTGAGGGTTTTAGAGGGGAGGGCGGTGGGGGGATGGGTTAGCCTGGTGATGGGTATTAAAGAGGGCAGGTATTGAATGGAGCACTGGGTGTTATACACAAACAATGAATCATGGAAAACTACATCAAAAACTAATGATGTAATGTATGGTGACTAACATAATAAAATTAAAAAAAAAAAGAATAGGCATATAGATTAACAAAACAGAATTGAGAGTCCAAAAATAAATTCCTACTTTTTGATCAACTGATTTCCTCTCCCCACCGAAAACAAGTTATTTATTCTGCCCTGGAAGCACTGATTTTCAACAAGGTATCAGGACAACACAATAGAGAAAGGTTAGTCTTTTCAACAAATGCTGCAGCGGACAACTGGATATCATATGTAAAAACAATGAATGTAAAATAGTGCAGCCACTTTGGAAATCAGTTTAGCGGTTCCTCCTGCAAATGTTAAATATACAATCACCGTTTGACCTAGCCATTCCATTCTTAGGTATATACCCAAGAGAGCAAAAACAGGTGTTCAAACAAAAACTTATACATAAATGTTTACAGCAGCATTATTCAATTAGCTAAAGAGTGGAAACAACCCAAATGCCCATCAATTAGTAAGTGGATAAACATAATCTGGTATATCCACACAATGGAATAGTACTTGGCCATAAAAAGGAATAAAGTATTGGTATTTGCTACATGTATGAACCTTAAGTATAAGCTAAGTGAAAGAAACCAGTTGCAAAAGATCACAATTTATATGATTCCATTTATATGAAATGTCCGGAAAAGGCCAATCCACAGAGACAGAAAATAGGTAAGTGGCTGCCAGAGGCAGGGGGAAGGAAGGGATAGGAAATGACTCCTAGTGGGCATTGGGTTTCTTTTTGGGGAGATAGAAATGTTCTCGAATTAGTGGCTCACACACTTTGTGAATATACTTAAAAACCACTGAGCCATATACTTTATTTTTTTAAGATTTTATTTATTCATTTGACAGAGAGAGACAGTGAGAGCAGGAACACAAGCAGGGGGAGTGGGAGAGGGAGAAGCAGGCTTCCCGCCAAGCAGGGAGCCCAATGTGGGGCTCGATCCCCGGACTCTGGGATCATGACCCAAGCCAAAGGCAGACACCCAACGACTGAGCCACCCAGGCGGCCCTGAGCCATATACTTTAAAGGGTGAACATCATGGTATGTGATTTAGATCCCAACAAAATGGTTATTAAATAAGTATCACTGAAAGAAGTTAAAGATAATCTAGGTAAATGGAAGTATATACCATATTCATGGGCTGAAATGCTCATTTCTCCCCAAAATGATCTATAAATTCAATGTAATTCCAATCCAATATCCCAGCAAGAGTTTTTTGGGGGGGGGGGGGTGGAAATTGACCAAGATGTTCTAAAATTTATATGAAATGCAAAGGCCCAAGAGTTGCTGAGACAAGCTTGAACAGGACAGGGCTGGAGGACATAAACTATCAAATATGAAGACTTTTAAGGAGCAAACCAGAGTTGATATATTTTTAAAAATGGAATTCCTATGTTACAATTCCTATTATAACACCAAATACTAGTTGAAAAAAGTACTGCAATGTCAATGCATTTTCAATCAAAAGCCAGATGAAGAAAAGAGGGTATGATGCAGCCTCAAAGATGAAGGATCAAGCAATCAAAAGTTACAGAAAATGCTGTTCTACTTGGAACTAAGATGGGGAGGGGCTGTAAAGAGGTTTTGTGTTTTAAATATGAGTAAGATGCTTGAAAGCACAAACTCCCGCTCACTGGGATAATTATTCACGACTAAAATGGCCCATATACACTGGTCTAGGGGAAAACCTGGGAGAGAGAAATTTAGTGGACAGCTTTTGGGGAATAACTGACCCCAGGGAATTAAGAAACTGTCGAATGGGTTAAGTTTTACCTTGCCTCTGATTTTGCTAAAAACAGAATAAATTTTCCTTATAGGATTTTAGGGTCGCCTGGGTGGCTCAGTCAGTTGAGCGTCTGACTCTTGGCTTTGGCTCAGGTCATGATCTCAGGCTCGTTGAGATCGAACCCTGCGTTGGGCTCTGTGCTCAGCCCAGAGTCTGCTTGTCCCTCTCCCTCCCCCTCTGCTCCTTCCTCTGCTCATGTGCACAGCGCTCTCTCATTCTCTCTCAAATAAAAATTTTTTTTTAATTTTAATTAAGTTTAGAATAAGACGCCACAACATTTTTTTTTAAATGTTTTCTACTTCAGCTTTTCCACTGCTTACTGAATACAAACCTGTTCCTTTTCTAGAAGACCTGCCTTTAGTCACTGTTGGTTTCTTCTTCACAGCAGGTGCCTGAAAAGTAGAATGTTCCCTCCACCTCCGAAGCTGAAAATTAATGAACTTCCACATCATGAATGCTTGGGTAATGCAAATGGATGCCAGGACAGCAATTCTGAGGATATTAAGGTTAATAAACAAAAATCAGAGTATATTAAAGCAATGCCATTGAATGCAGTGTTCTATCTTGCACTGACAGGATTATAATCTTGGTGCTAAATTCCCACTGGTGACAAGATGATGTTAATAAACAATTATCCCATTAACAGTTAATCTCCAAATTCAAAGAAAACCCTTAGAATTTCAATTCAGACATATGCAACTGCAGCAGGTTTGAAATCAAATGAATGTGTTCCCCCCCATATTTTACTATTTTTTTAAGATGATCTACATCATAAACGGATAATACACACTATTATAGCAGTACCAAGTGAGAAAAATGTTAAATTGGCTGTACCTTACAGCTAACACATTGAAGTTCCCAGCACTGAAATCCAGTTTCTGATTCTCTGCTCTTGCAAGGCCAAAGCCAACAGTGAGTACTGAAAGAATTAAAGTCAGAAGTCTTCCCAAAACAAATAGAACTGCCCACAGAGAAAACCTGTAAGAAAAATGTCTTAAGTCAAATTCATAAAATTACAAAGATATGAATAGATTCTAATAGGCATCAGATTCCTACTAAGTAAATGCATATTAAAACAACATTTCTTATTGTTCTGCAAAAAAAAGATTCTGAAGTAAAATGTTTGGGATATGCTATATATCACACTCTTGGAAATATGTAACATAGCAGATTTAAGATTCTAGGAAGTCCAGTAAAGAAATAATTGACTTTTTGTTTAGCTGATCTTTTTTTTAATATAACTATAATTAATGATCCTCAAAACTACTGGTACACAGAACAATTTTGAAAAATGCTGGACAAAACAAAAGCTGTCCTGTTAACAGGACACCCAATTCCCACTTAATAGGCCTAGTTTTACTTTCTTTTTTGTAACAAGTCATACTGCTCCAATTCTGTTTTCAATCCAATTTTCCCATCGAAATATTTTAGTATCTTTTAGGCTATATAATCTATTATTTCGTTTTCTTTTTTCCTATTTCTATTATCCCTATTATCACTTTCCTATTACTCTTCCTCCAAAAGAAAAACATGCATTAAACAAAAGGGCAATTGTAACAGAAAAATAAACCCCAAAACCTTCAAAATTACAAGTTCCAATGTAACATCTCTCTAGTGAGGACAAAGAAGAGACTTCATTTTAGAGAATAAAATATCAACCTGAATTGTAAAATTGTTTCATTTTATTTAAAGCTACTACTAACAGCTTACAGAGTGATATTATTGCCCCCAGCTTGGATCTTGGCAATAGCACAGACCTTGGCAACACAGAGGTTGACTTCAATTACACAGGAAAGAGAAGGGCTTAACAACTTACCCTTTCTGATACTTTTCGTCACTAAAATAAAACAGGCGGGAAATGTGGAAAAGAAATTCAACAAAATAATGTAGCACCAGAAGAACAAGTCCTAGATGATTCAAGCTGTTAAAAAGACAAATTTAGAATGTAAAGATTATCAATTAAGACAGATTGACCCACTATTTACCCAGTCCCATTTACACATCCAAGCAAAACCCCAACTTACTTTAAAAGATAAGCTCCAGCAATGTGAAAGAGGTAAAGACCAATGTAGACAAGCTGACGAGGAATATCTTCCTGTAAATAGAGGTGCATTATAGATTAAAACACGATGAAACATTTCGTGTACAGCATATTGTACTGTTTCATGAAAATTTTATACAGATTTCACACACACATACACACTAAATTATGATGTAAAATCTAGCTTTTCATCTTGAGTTGCAGTCACAAATGTTTGTAAAAACAGACAGTGTTAGGGGCGCGTGGGTGGCTCAGTTGTTAAGTGTCTGCCTTCGGCTCAGATCATGATCCCAAGGTCCTGGGATTGAGCCCCGCAACGGGCTCCCTGCTCAGTGGAAAGCCTGCTTCTCCCTCTCCCACTCCCCTTGCTTGTGTTCCCTCTCTTGCTGTCTCTCTCTCTCTCTGTCAAATAAATAAGTAAAATCTTAAAACAAAAAAACCCCACAAAAACTGACAGTGTTAAACTCAATAAACACTTGTTAATTTATGAACATCTCATTTCTACTCCGGTTTTTGCTGTGTTCCATGTATATATGAAACATAGTTATAGTAGCCTGACATATATATAGTATTAGGCTATAGTAAGCCTGGTTAGTACTTTTCATGTACAACAGCTGCTAATTGCAATTTTTTAAATGGAGGGTTGATATTAAGTGGATGGAACTGTATTCCCCTGGAAGCTCACTAAACTCATCTCTGGCATCTAGTACAGTTGAGTTCAGGTCTCTATTGGCCCTCTACATCTCTTTCTACATTTCAGTAAAGTTACTTCTCCAAATCTTTGGAGAAAGAGTAGAGATTTTACACTTGTAGTTTTGAAACTGAAAACTCTTCTCTAGTAAGAATGGTACAAAAACCAAGTGTTAGAAAGGCAGAACATAAGACAGTCGAATAGTACTATATATGCTACTATGTTTTGGGACTCTCGGGGGAAAAAACCCAAGACATGATACAAGTGGACAGTGGTTCTTCCAATTGGAGAGAGAAGATCTCAAAAAATAAGCTGCCTTAATTTTTAAACTTCCAATGAAATATTTCTTACAAAAGGAGAGAGGGTGGGGCGCCCCGGGTGGCTCAGTCGGTTAAGCGTCTGCCTTCGGCTCAGGTCATGATCTCATGGTCCTGGGATTGAGTCCTGTGTTGGGCTCTCTGCTCGGTGGGGAGTCTGTTTCTCCCTCTCCCTCTGCCCCTCCCCCTCTCCTAGCTCATGCTCTCTCCCTCCCTCAAATAAATAAAAATCTTAAAAAAAAAAAAAAAAGAGAGAGAGGGAGAACAGTATCAAAACTAATATGCTGAAGTTTTCTGGTCTTACAGTCATTTTAGAACAGCTCACTTGCAGTGTTATAAATGTAATTTCACATGCTATGAATAGAGGTGTCACTGTATATACGTGATATAGATGTTTCTCAAAGTGTGGTTTTATATTACTGGCACTGCACAACATGACTGTGGATAGTACACAACAAAACACTTTTAACTATAATTTTAAATAAAATATTTTAAATTAAAGCAAGTGGCATGTGACTTGGTATGGGAAATACTACCATATTCTTCAGATATGTTAATCTATGCTCCAAATTTCTGAGGAGAAAAGAGAGCAGGGGTACTCTTGATACTTACGACAAAAGCTTTGCAGTTTTTTAATTGCTGATTGAACACTAAACTCTTTATAAAACTTGTGTAAATCAATGTAACTAATTGCTGGAATAACTGCTGGAAAAACTATTTTAAAAAAACTATTTTTGGGGGGGTTAAAAAGATTTAATTTTAAAGAAGAAACACAAATTTTAAAAATACATCATTTAACAGAGAACCTAAGCTGCCTATTTTTTTTCTTTCTGACGAATCTAAAAACACTTTTATAAATTACAAACTACTTTTCCAAAAGCCATTCTATTTCTCTTATCTTTTGTCCTTAAATCTCAACCTAATTAGGTAAGGTGAGGTTGAAGCTTTTCTTTTTTTTTTTTTTTTTACGATTTTATTTATTTGACAGAGAGAGAGAGAGCACACAAGGAGGGGGGGAGCAGGCTGAGCAAGGAGCCTGATGTGGGGCTGGGATCACGACCTGAGCCAAAGGCAGCTGCTAAACCAACTGAGCCACCCAGGTGCCCCTGAAGCTTCTTTCTTAAATTCAGGTTCAACTTTGCATTTTAGCCTTGCCCTTTTTTGGTAGTCAACCAACTGAGCCAATAATGAAGAATAAAATACCATCTATCACGGGCTTCCATCTTCATAACCATCAAATGCCTAGCAATAGCTTTTTAAAAGATTTTATTTATTTGAGAGAGAGAGAGAGAGCGCTCAAGTGGGGGGAGGGGAAAGAGGGAGAAGGAGAGAATCTCAAGCAGACTCTGCAAGGAGCAAGGAGCCTGACATGGGGCTTGATCCCAGGACCCTTACATCATGACCTGATCTGAAACTAAGAGTTGGACGCTTAACCCACTGAGCCACCCAGGTGACCTAAAGTTTGTTAATCTTTAAACAAACAAATAAGCAAAACCTCATTTCTGGCTCCTGTTAGAAAACATTTATTTACATAATAAAATTGTAGGATGATGTCTGAAAATGCCTTGAGAAGCCAAAACAGCTTTCTCTCAGCCACTTTTTATTCATCTAGACACTAGATTTGAGAAGAGTGATCATTGCTCTTGGATGGCATGCTGACTCCCTAACTGGGATCTGTGATGTGGCCAGATCTGAGCTCAGATGGCCAAGTTTCACCCAGCCCCCTCCATTCCTCATTCCCCACACCCCCCGGAAATGTGTAACCCCAGAGACCATGGTGTTGGGCAAGGTTGTTGTTGGCCTCAGACACATAAGCATCCTGCCTGTGGGGCTGTCACCCCACGAGGACTAAAGAATGTCAGCAGTCTGGCTTAGAACAGGGGTGCCATTACAGCCATTTTCTAAATGAAATCTAGATAAAATTTCTCATTTTAAAAATCATGCTATATCATCCCCATTACTTTTGTAATCTTAAAAGGATTTGGGAATGCCTTTAATATAGAGCATGCGTTTTCCAGTTCACAACAAGCTCCATCACTCCCTGTAGTATTATATTATACTCCTCTCTGTCACTCATTTATTTTTACTTTTTCTCTGGTTAGGCTTTGAGTATACAAACATTGCTTTAGAGACACTGGTCAATTTGTATATAGCTAAAGGGAATGTTATTTAGAAAAAGATTTCTTGATGCTCTGTCCTTTGGAAAGCTGTAGGAACTATTTTAAAAGCTCTTGCTTAGGGCGTCTGGGTGGTTGAGTCAGTTAAGCATCTAACTCTTGGTTTTGGCTTAGGCATAACCTCAGCATCAGGAGATTGACTCCACATGGGGCTCTGCATTCTGCTTGTCCCTCTCCCTCCCCTTCTGTCCCTCCCCACCGCGGGCTCTCTCAAAAATAAATAAATCAAAAATAAAGATTAACAAAATTCTTTTATACTTGAATGGAAAAAAGACATAATGAAAATGAGTTATTAGAAAAGCTTTATCAAAGTTCTAGGCGCGCCTGGGTGACTGAGTTAGTTATGCGTCAGACTCTTGGTTTCCGCTCAGGTCATGACCTCAGGTTTGTGGGATCAAGCCCCGCATCAGGTTCCATGCTTAGCGCAGAGTCTACTTGTCCCTCTCCCTCCCCCTGCTTGTGCACTCTCTTTCTCAGATAAAGAAAATCTTAAATAAAAAAAATAACTTTATCAAAGTCTCTTATTCTTAATGTTAATGTTTAAATTAATGAATGAAATCATGGCATGATGACTTAAAATTCTAATAGTCTTATTTTTCATGGAAAATCTAGTAAATATAGTACATTAAATCAAAATAAGTTCTAAAATTATAAATAACTTCAAGTGACATTTTCAGTTGTTATTCCAACATCTTTTTATTAAAAAGATCAGCCACACACTTTAGTAAATTTGTTCTTATAAGAAAATGCTTTTCTTAACTACACTGTACTTGTAAAAAAAAATTGATTTCAAACTTAATATCATAAATATGCCCAAATATAAGGCAAAGATTTTCCCCTAAACCACAGATGGAGCCATCTCATATTTAAATCTTTTCAAAACTCTTATGTTATAGGGATCAATATCGATTATTTTGAATAAGAAATACATGTTTGGGTAAGATACACAGCCTTAAAAACCTCAATCAATGTGATTTCTAAGTGCTTATAGGGGGCCTAGCAGAGGAATCAGTGGAAGATGTTGTACTCTGGAAAAACTGAGAGGATTCAAAAAGTGGCTCTAGTGATGAATGACAGATATGAACAACAAAATTGCATGTGGAAAGTGTGAATATAGCTTCCATGAAGGGGGAAGGGGAAAAAGCATTATTTCCAATTTAAAAAACTTCACAGGATATAAAATTATATGCATGTATAATTAAACTAAATAAACTGAATATGAGAAATAAAATATTTGGCTATTTCATTGAGACTTCTCCGAAAGCCCACATATTCAAGTTGGCTAAGAAATTACACGTGAACCTTCTTATGGGCAAAATGGAATAATGTTTATATTGAGGCATACATATTTTATGTATTTAAAATATTCTCCTTAAAAGAAACAGTTATTTGTGACTAACACACCTCTTGAACTGCTACTAACAGTAGTGTTCCTTTCTTTCTTCATTTCTCTGTAGGATCAGTTCAAAACAATCACTGTACTAGTTTCTTCCAGTAAAGAGTTCTTCCAAAAATAATTTTCATAGAGTAAATTTTAAGAAACTGTTTAACACATATGCAGCTGTTACTTTCAAATTATGTTAATTACTTGAAACAGTTACTTTCGACTGTCATATGTAGGTGTTAAAAATAGTTTCAGTTAAGTTCTAAGTTATGCAAATTATTCCATAAAAATTAGATTGCATTTCTGGAGAAATGCCATCTGGCAGGAATTGATAAGGAAAGAACTTTGAAAACTAAAATGAACAATTACTTTGAAATGTCCTTCTTTATTTACATTATCAATGACTAAGACAGATTAATAATGAAGCCCAGAGGTATTATGTCTATGGGTATACAAATATGTGCACGAAGACAGCTTTAAATATTTGAGCCACGGTACTAAGACATCAAGAAACTATGATGTTCTCAGCAACACTGCCCAACAGAACTTTCTGCAATGATGGAAATGCTATCTCTGCTATGCAAAATGGCAGACAGTATGGCCACATGTGGCTAAATGAGTACTTGCAATAGGGCTAAGTGTGACTAAGAAAGTACATTTTGTTTTTAACTACTGTTTTTAACTGTAATTACTTTAAATGTGGCTAGTGGCTTCTGTTTTGGGCAGTGCAGCTCTAGGACATCTGTGGTTCGCACCAGGTGCTTACTGCATATGGAAGGGCTTCTGGAAATTGTGAGCCTAAGGATCTTATCTTAACACGGTTCTAAGCCAAAGGTTTTATGGATCTTCATCCTAATCCTTACAATCAACTTAACTAGAAAAACACTCCACTTGAAAAAGAAATCAACATAAAAAGAACTTTCAAGCCACAGTATATGAACTCTATTTGGTGCTGTTTTCTAATCATAGCAGACAACATCAATGATGACAGACACAGAGGACACAAAACCACAGACACAAAGCAGTAGTAAGTCAGGTAGCTATACGCTGGATTAGCTACTTGCAGTACATATAGAAATGGTGTGGCTTTGGAGAAGGCAGAGATGAACTGGTGGTCATGCTACACTTCTATCCTGAAAAGCGTCTCAAAGTAAGGGAGCTTTAAATGTGGACAAATGTAAATATATATTCAACCAACAGAGAGTATAAAGAATTCCCATGTAGCCCTACCCAGCTTTAATAGTTGTTAACTCAGGACTAAACTTGTTTTGTCTGTATTCCTGTATAAGGATTTTAAAAATACTCTCTCCCTGAAAAAGGGAATATGAGTGTTTGATTAATTTAACGGTATTCCCAGAAAAAGAACTGATGTGCTGGGATCATAAAATTAGAGCATATCAGTGTGAATGAAGCCCAAGGAGAGCACAGAGGAAAAGGGAGCAGGGAGGAGGTGGTACAAACCAGCAAAACCCCCGTAGAGCACGGGTGAGCTGCTGTATTTAGTTTCAAGCAACAGGGAGGTGGTATAGGTTTGAGAGAAGAGTTAAAGAAAGGAACTAAAGTGTACTTTGAGATATCACAAAGTCTGACTTTAGAAGTACTGAGGGTAAAATAGAAAGAAGGATATTGTACTCCTCATTATTTGTTCAAATAAAACAAACATCTTTCTCAGATGCTAAGAAGAATGCGCCTCCCATTTCAGGAAAAGCCTCACTGCTGAGTATTTAACTATGGCTTACTTTATTTAATACTGAATTTTTTTTACTGGGTCTTAACACACAGAACTATTAGTTGCAGAAAAATCTGATTAATGCTTTTGTCTCATTTGTGAAACTCCTATCAATAATATAAAACTAATATTACATTTCAAAATTTGTTTAAATTTTATTTAAAATTACCACTAATACAGTTTTAAAACAGGAGATTAACATGTCAAATGTAAAAGAGTCCACTCTCAGTTAAAATACGACAAAAGTTTTTTTCAAGAAGTATGTGAGGATATTTAGTCTTTGTGGAAAGAGGGGAGGTAGGAGAATAATGGGGGAAGAGTTGAGGTGGGAAAGAAAGAGAGGGGTTAGAGATGTGAGGAAATGTTTAATTTTAGAGTGACTTTTCAAAAAAAAGGGAAAAAAATTGACAACTTTTAAAATTACAAAATCTCAGCTTACTTTTTTGGTTTTCTGGAAGTAGAGTTCAGGAAAAGCATGAAACCAGTAAGCCAACTGGGCTATGTAGAAAAACTTCATTTGAAATCTGCACAAGAAAGGAAAAAAAATACCTTTTAAAGCATGATATTTTTAAAGAATAAAGTAAAAACAAACGCTGGAAATCAGGATGTACTAAGTAGCCACCTTCGTGTTATCATTTCAGGTCTCCCTACAGTACTCTGTGCACCTTTAACAACTCCCCAGCAGCCACTTCCCTGTCTCCCTAGAATATTCTCACCACCAGTTGATTCCTCTGGATTAAACAACAGATGCAAAGACATTATCTGCAGAACGCCGACAACCTGCATGCTGGCTGGGAGGAACCAGACCCCCTTGTCTATTAGTACATTAATACTGATTAGTATGTCATGTTAGCTACTGAAAACATAAGGAACATGACTTTGAGGGAATCACCTTACAGACCTTTAAGGTTTCAACAAAAGGAAAGCAGGAAGGGCAAAAAGATGGACACAAAAGCGAAGGTGCCCAGATAAATGATCACCTGAAACTGGTATAATCCCAACTGAAAATATCCCCTGGCTTTTTTCTTAGGGCAATATGGTAACTCTACCTGGTTGGAATACTGATAGAACCCCCAAATAAATGGAGGCAAACCACAGAAAGAGGAATACAGCATGGAAGTGTTCCCCAGGAGACAGAGCTCATCAGCCTAGAATCAATAGTCTCTTGACATTATACCCCTCCAGTCTTCCTACTTTCTCTTTGTTCTTCCTTCCCCTTTTCCTCCAGACTTCTAAAATTGAAAACACAAAACCAATTGGAAATAAATTTTTGGGGGGAGAGGGGAGATAGTCCCATATAAATATGATGTTTATAACCCTACTGCATAAAAGCTCACTGAATTAATATCATTTTTAAAAGTCAGAATGACTCAGCAGCGTGGGTATTATTGCTGGACTTAAAACAAAGGTATACATGGTCATGTTATTCCCTTTGTATCTTTTTCTCCAATTCTCAAATCATAATGCATTTACTGAATGCTGTCTAGGTGACAAACACCTACATATGGCCTGGCACACCAAAGGATATATTATACATAGAGAGACAGTTCCTACTTGCTGTCAAGGCACACACAGTCTTGGTGGGTATGGGCACAATATAAGACTTACATAAATGGAACAATTATAGAACATTCATGACAATGTAGAGATATTACCTAAAATATTATATACCAAAATGACAAATTCAGGAAAGCAAAAGACAATATAGGCTAACGTAGCAAGGAAATATAATATGGAATAGTCGTGCTAGAGCTGGGCTTGAAGAATGAGTAATTTAGCTAAATGTCTTTCCAACACTGAGCTTTTTTATAGGACTGTATAGAAACCTTGGGGACTAGGAAGATAAAAAAGAGACAATTGCTACCCTGAAGTTTACAGTGTAAGAGAATAAGAAATGAAAGGAGTAAAAAGAGACTGGGGCATAGAAAAGGAGCAAAAACTACAGCGAAGATGGAGAACTGACAAGGAGAAAGGATGAGGGAGAAGGGAAACCAGAACTAAATTAAGACTGTTAAAATCAGTTTTCTCAAGCTAATGAACATGCTGGAAATATACATGAAAAAAGAGCATGAGAATTTTTTTTCTTATGGCAGAGGGATTGCCAACGACATACCTATTGTATGAATTTGCCTAAGTCCTAAAGAGAATGACAAGAATGGGTTCTGCTTAAAAGTGACACAACCATGGTCCTTAACTAAGAAAAGCCTGCTAAAATGACTTACGTCATCAGGTTATGGGGATAAGCCCTCCACAAGATAGTTGGGTCTGAGATGTAGTTTTCCTAAGGAAGAAGATATAAAAATTAGCCTATTGAGTATAATGCAAACTTCTTGGAAAATAAGACATTATTTTCATTTCTTGCACATTTATAATTTCCTAGATCAGGCACTCCAAAGAGCCCACTGAAGTTAAACTTTTTAGTTGTTTTAGTTATTTTTGATTCAGTTGAATTGCTTATTTTAGCAAAGTGAAAATCACTATGAAAGATATGAAGTCAAATAAGCATAATTCCTGGCCTTCAAAATTCAATAATCCAATAGAGTAAAAAATACATGTATGTGAACAAACATAAAACAACCAAAAAACAGTAATGGTACATAACAGAGGCAACAACAGCTATGGGAGAGATGAATTTTGTCTTGGGTGATCAGAGGAGGGTTTCGGGAAAGACGGAGCACCTGACAGGAGATGGAGGATCAAGGTGCTGCCAAGTTTTATAGGATGATGTCCACACACTAACCCAAATTTTTTTCTTAGATAACCAGATCTATTCAGTGAGAATTATTGCACATGTGTAAAAAACAAAAACAAAAAACCTGTCAAGTGACTTATCTTTAGTAAGAGTATTTTCCTACTGAAATGTAACATGATTATGTTTAAAAACAATTATACAGTAGATTTTAAGCAGAAATTACATATATTTATAAAGTATCATTAAAGCAGCAGCATAAAAAGGCATGAGCCCTGGAAAGACTGAGTTTTAATCTATTTCCAACACTAAATATCATACACTTTGCCTGTTTATTCATCTCTAACATGGCGATTAAAAAAAATTACGTTTCCTAACAAACTAAAAAATACGTAAACTCTAGAGTGCTATAAATTCAGAGACTGTTAATACTAATACTAATGTAAATACTACCTTCCCCCTCACTAGTTAGAATGATATAGTTAAAGGTTTTGATAGCTTTAACTGTAAAGTTACACAATATTTTAAGTTGCTTGGATACTACCCAGATTGTTTTTAAAAGAGGAAATGACTAGACACATTACAACTCATATAAGCCAGTAAAAGTTATCACTGACTTTTTACCCTTTTTGCTAATATAGAGATATCTGCAAATGACTACAGGATATAAAAATATTCAGATTGACTAAAAATGAGTAAGACTTTCTGAAACATTAAACACAGTTTAGAATTTCTGCTGTATGAAAACTAATGAAAAAAGAGGCTTATCGCTGAAACTTGAATTTATACTAGTTCAACAGAAGAATTCCTAATCTTAGATAAGAACAAGAATAGAGAAGGGATTGTCTAAGGTTCAGGCTTTGCTTATGAGCATTAAAAATAGGACATCATTTTCTGTTCTGGCTATATAACATAAATACTTTGAGAAATGAAAATTTCAGCATAGTATATACTTACAGATATTAGAATGAATGTGCCCCAAATACAAGAAAAAAGGTAGAATGCACTAAGCTGACCAGATTCATTAAACTTGCTGTGTTTCGTTTTGGAGAAGTGCATTCGCCTGTTAATTTTCTAAAAATAAAAACAACCATTAGTAATTAAAAAGATATTATAAAGCATATTTAATATGTGACTACCGTTAAGTATGGAGCACTAGTATTTTATAAAGTATAGATTTCTAAGATTGTATACTTACATCCAACACATACTCTTGAATTATGGCATGAATAATTATCGCCACTAGCATGTAGAAGAAAACTGTAGCCAAATCTTTGATACCATAGTAATAAAGGGATGCTGATTCAGTAGCTTGTTCTTCTGAAGGCCAAAAAGGAAGAACACACATACACAAAAATATACATAAGATTATAAAAACAGCACTAAGTACAACATAGTTATGGAAACAAACAAAAGAAGACTAACCTAATAAATAAGTTCTATAGAAACATTATAGGTGATTTGCTTTTGGACATCTTGAGTCTTAGGAGCAATGAAAATTGAAAACTACCCAGAAATCTAAGGCCTCAGAAATTACTTACAAAAGACTTGACACATGTTAGTTACAGCCATCAAAGACCAAAAAACAGGGAAGGGGAGGCCATATTCAGATCCTTGGGAAGACTGTAAAATTGATATTATCCCAGGCAGAGATTAGGTTACATCAAAGTTATACTTAGCCTATCTGTCCGTCTTAAATTTTCTACCTCTTTTCAAACTAGACACTTCGTTATGATTCTGATAGAAAAACTGATTTAACCTCTATTTGAATGAATTTTGATCTATCAGCACTATAGACAGAGGCAACTGCTACTTAAAGTTGTTTTTAATCCTCGATATTGTTCTATTTTTCAAAACAAATCTTAATCAAATACTTGTGAGTTGCTGTAAATTATTGTTCTCAAGCTTTATATTTATGGAAATTATTTGGGAAAAAAAGCACTATTGTTCTCTGGCATATTCAAATTTCAAAACAACTTTTTGATTTTGAGTGATCTGATATCTAAGTCACTAAATCAAATATGGTTGACCCTTGAACAACATAGGTTTGAACTGCATGGGTCCATTTACCTGCAGATTTTTTTCAAGAAATACAGTACTGCCAATGTACATTCTTGTCCTTATGATTTTAATAACATTTTCCTTTTTAAAATAACATTTTTTCTCTAGTTTATTGTAAGAATGCAGTATATCATACATATAACATATAAAATATGTGTTAATCAACTGTTTATATTATTGGTGAGGCTTCTGGTCAACAGTAAGCTATTAGTAGTTAAGGTTTTGGGGACTCAAAAAATTGTACATAGATTTCTGATTGCACGGGGTCAACGCCCCTAACCTCTGCATTATTTAAGGGTCAACTGCATTTATACAACTATATAACTGAATTAAACCCAATTCAATGTTATATAATTGATCCTATGTTCTAAATACAGAGCCAAATACTTGTCTGAATATGTTAATATTTTATTAACCAAATACCCTCACCCATGCTGGTTACTTGTATCACTGTATTCAACTACAATCAACTTCCAATAACAACTTGACTTTCACATTGCATAATTTAGAAATAAAACTTTTAGGGAGCTTGGGTGGCTCAGTTGGTTAAGCGACTGCCTTCGGCTCAGGTCATGATCCTGGAGTCCCGGGATCGAGTCCCGCATCGGGCTCCCTGCTCAGCAGGGAGTCTGCTTCTCCCTCTGCCTCCCCCCTCTCGTGCTCTCTCTCTATCTCATTCTCTCTCTCAAATAAATAAATAAAATCTTTAAAAAAAAAAAAAAAAAGAAAAACTTGTAGGGGTGCTTGGATGGCTCATTTGGCAGAGCATGTGACTCCTGAACTCAGGGTCATGAGTTCAAGCCCCATGCTGGGTGTGAAGCCTACTTAAAACTAAAAAAAAAAAAGAAATGAAACTTTTAAAAATAAAGCCTGAAAGTGTAGTTTGGATGCTATTATAACTCCTAGAGCTTACTGACATTTAGAGGTAGAGCACAACAAAAACACGAAAATAAAATAGGCTTATAAGGATTGTTACTTTAGGTCTAAAGCGTAACTCATAGGTCAGAAAAACTGAACCTAAATATTGTACCTTTAGAAATCCTGATTGAACGATAACACTTTAAACAAATATTCAGTATCTAGTCTTAGAATTTTCTTACGAAAAAGATCAGAGGGAAGAGAAGGGAAAAAAAAGTTCTCCCATGGAAAGTCAAGTCCATTTACAAAATACACAATAAACATTAAACACATATGATTTTCACATAATCTATAGGGTGAAGTCAACAAAATACATCATTTCTCGCATTATAAAATCATTAAAATAACATTCAGTCTAATCATGAATGAAATCTATTAAAATTAAAGAAGTTAGTATTCATGGTAATTTCCAAGTTTGTTCAAGTAAAACCTACTTAAATAGAAAATTCTGAAAGAAAACTACCTACCTGTTGCAGGGAGGGTAACATTGTACTGAAGAGTAACAAAAATGATAGAAGCTTTTGCTGTTATCTAGAAAAAAAGAAAAAAGATCAAGTCAATTTGTGACCTTCTCCCAAATAGATCAAGGGAGAAAACATTGTAAGTTCTGCCCCCAAATCTAAAAACCAAGGGCACCCTAGTTCTTGTGGCCCTGTGACAGGCACAACTGAATTCCCGATCACCCAGGGGTTGAGCTTGGGAGTGCTGCAGTTTAGATGAGTTTGTGAGTTTGTGTTAGTCCTAACTTTAAGATTTCAAAAGAGACATTCTGTAGTTTCAGTGACTCTCTACTCTAGACCTGTACAATGAACAAAGTTCCTATTAAAAAAAATTGAAATGTAAATTAATAAGGAAAGGAAGCACAGTTACCACCACTAAAAATTGATCAAGCTGGGGTCTATGGTATGTGTTTATTTCTCACACACCTGGGATAATTAAGTGGTCAATAAATATTTAACTGACCTGATTATTGGTAAAAGTGAAGTGGTCAGAACAGGAAAATGGAATGCTTACTCAATATTTATAGGCACCAGGTAATGTGCTAGACAAGAATGGATAACAAAGATGAATGATACAATCCCTGACCACTCGTAGCTCAGTCGGGTCAGGAAGATGGGTAAACAAATTGTTATAATAGTATAGAATCAGTGCCAACAGGTATTCAGGATAAACAATGGATTGTTTTTGTTTTTGTTTTTTTCCTGGGGTGGGGAATAAGGCATGTTCTGGAAAGGCTTCTCAGAGGATATGGTGTGGAACTGTCTCTTGTTGGAAAACAGAAGTTCTCTAGGCTCATAAAGGGGAATGAAGAGGGCAGCATAGGTAAAACAGAAAGCACAAAGGTTAAATAGCGAACATGAGGCCCGGCATGGATACACATCAGTAAGCGGTAGAAAAGCCTAGAAAACTTCTCAAGTGCTAGAAAGGGCCTTGTTTGTTAGACTAAACAGTTTAGATTTTATTTTGGCACAATTAGAGAATTAGGAAGTGGGGGAAGTTCATTTGTGCTTTTTAGAAAGATCATGGATGTACCTAGTAAGTGGTCTTTCAAGCCCCCTCAAATCCATTCTCCATGCTGCAACCAGATTCATCTTCTGACCGTGTTAACACCTTTCCCCATGCCTACCCATCCCCTACCTCCACCCTGAAAATTCTTCACTGGATTCCCATTCTTTCTAGGATAAAGAACAAAATCTTTTTTTTAAGATTTTATTTATTCATTTATTTACTTACCTGTTTATTAATTCACTTATTTAGAGAGCATGAGCGGGGGGGTGTGGGGGGAGGAGTAGAGGGAGAGAGAGAATCCCAAGCAGACTCCCTGCTGAGCACAGAGCCCAATGCGGGGCTTGATCCCTTGACCCTGAGATCATGACCTGAGCCAAAATCAAGAGTTGGACGCTCAACTGACTGAGCCACTCCGGTGCCTGAAGAACAAAATCTTTAATGTGACCCATACAATAATCCATGACCCTTCCCCTCTGCCTCTCCAGCCTTACCTCAGACCACTGCCTCCTGGATTCCTCCCATCACAGGGTCTGTGCACATGCAGTTCTATCTGAAACCCTATTGAAAACCCTCCCCCTTCAGATCTCAGTTCAATCACACCTTTTCAAGGAAGCCTTTGTTAGATTATCTCAGAGATGATCTAACGTCCTTTGTTAGATTATCTCAGAGAATTGTGTTCCTTTCTTTCAAAACACATACTCTTGGTGTTATAATATTAATAATTTCTGTCACACTCATTAGAAAGTAAGCTCCATAAGAGCTGGAACCATGCCTGTTTCTTCACTGTATGTTTAGAGCCCAGCATGGGGCCTGACCCATGTTAGGTGACTGATCATTTCTGCTGATTAAATACTAAATAAAACATAAACTGGAGTAGGTACACAAGGTCAAATATAAGACTTCTGCAAGAGACCACATGAAAGATAATAAGGCCTGAACTAAGGCAGTGGTAGTGGGACAGAGACAGTACTTTTGGGGCAGAATAAGGCGTGGGGAGCAAGACGGAAGAGTCAAAGATTATGTATGGATACTTACCGCTTGAACAACTAGGTGAAAAGTAATACTATTAATAAAAATGTGGAATACAGGAGGGGCAGCAGCTTTTGGGGAAAACAGAAAAAACTGAGTTTTAGACAGACTTAGATTTCTGTGAGATATGCAGGGGGAAAGACCAATAGGCAGATAAGCCTAAACCTTGAACTCTGCAGGGAGACCCTTGCTTAAAGACTTAACTACCTACTTATAGTAGGTAGTTAAAGCTGTGGGGGTATATAAATCATTTATGGAGAATGCACAGTGTTTGCAGAGAAATAGGACAACATCAGAACCATGAAGGGGGCAGAGAAAAAGCTGGGGCAAAATAAGAAGAAATGATCAGAGAGGGAGGAAGAGAATGAAGACAGCTAGATGCCTCCAAGGCCAAAGGGGTAACTAACGTTTCAAAAAGGTGTGGTTAATAAAGTCAAAGTTTCAAAAGAGACTTGGCAGGAAAGGAGTACAATGAACTGGACATTTTAAGAAGCCATCAGGGGTCATGGCTTGAGTGATTCCAACGAAAACAGTGAGAGCAAAAACCATACCATAGACTGAAGAACAAAGGAGAAACAAAGTGGTATCCAGCAATAGATGCCAGGTCAAGATTTATGTTGTTTTTATGACTGAGCTTATGTGGGGGTAATCAGGAAGGTGCCAGGGAAAAGGAAGAAATTAAACATTTAAGGGGACAATGGATAGAAAGATCTGGTAAGAAATGAAATGTAAGGATAGAGCTAAAAGTTAATCTGAAGTTTTCTTCTTAGATGGGGGAGAAGGTAGCAATGGATGAGACAGATAAGTTCAAAAGGCAGGAAAAGTGAGGAAATGCACATCTAGTAAATTCTTATTTTCCCTGTGGTGGAAAAAAAAGCAATGCGATCTGTTCAGCATAATTAGGGACCTGAATGATGAGTATTTATATCATTCCTATAGGGAAAGGAGCTGGCCAGGGAAAAGTAAAAAAGATCACTGGGTGTTACTGATGTCTGAGATCAGAAGCCTTTGATTTATAATATAATCTATCAGCACAAGTTACGACTTTCTCTGGCAACCCTTAGCAATCCATGAATGGAAAAGCACAGAAAAGGCAGAGGGTGCGGTAGATTGATGGTTGGATATTTGCAGGGCTGATATGGAGAAAAGACCAAGAGGGAAGGGAGCTGAGGCCTGGGGTGAGTGTAGACAAGCAGTTAAAGTCTTCAGGAAGAAAGCAAAGCAATGAGGGGGTCAAGGCACCATAAAAGCTTCGACTAGGTGGAGAGTTGGCACACGAGCAGTAGAACGAAGAGGGTGAAACAACATGTAGGTTGTGGCTGAGCTTTGCTATACTGGAATTCAGAATCTGGAAACAAGGCAAGCCTACGTGATAAAGTCCACGGTATGGCCACTAAAGTGAGTTGCTTAACCGTCGTAGATATGGAAAGGTCACTTGAATAGAAAAGGCCAGCATGGGTTCTGGTATTATCATTTGGGTCATTCACATGAATGCACTAGAGCAGAATGATGGCATGAGTTTCCAGGGCAATACTGCTTTTATATGATTATTTTTAATAAAGTTGACTGATGACCAAATTTCATTTTTTGATATCTTTGTTTAGACTCCACATATATTAACACATGCATACTTTCTCCACACACCTGTTTCTGGTTTAGAATGAGGTCACCACTATCATAACTAGAAAACTTCTCAAGAGTCCTTTACAAATGACAAGTAAAATTCTTCGAAGATAAATTTAATATCAAATACCAAAAGCAACAAAAATTAGATTATCTTTTTATGGTAGGTTTCCAAATAAAATTAAAATCTGGCCTCCAGCTACTTTAGCATGTGCCATTAAATGTAGAGCAAGAGGAAAAATACAAACTACACACCCCAAAAAGTTTATAGAAAAATCATGCTACTAGCTTTTTCCAGGCCTCCTAAGCCTCACACCTCAGCAAGCATTGCTTTAACCTAATATTACAATCAATTAATAGTAAGGCAAATTAATTTGGAATAAAATATGCTGCAGTAATATATAATGTACTCAAAAGTAAACATAACTGAGTTTATGACAGTTCTGGACATTTATAACACTGCTTTCCATTTACAAGAATGAAACTTAGATACATCTTAAACAGGTTCCACAAAGTCTAAGGCATTATCTAATTCTATGTTGTATGTAGTATCACGAATATCCTAATGTTTCCTTAATCAAGAAGAGGTCACCAGTTTGGGCTTGATGTTTTTTTCTTGTTAAAATTATACTGTATTTGTTAGAGGAAAGTGTGATTTACTATATTGACTATATGCCCGAAAGATAAATACAATTTCTGAATATCACATTTCACTTCCCCATCACCTTAAGCTAAAGTTCTTTTTTTAATAATTTTTTATTGTTATGTTAATCACCATACATTACATCATTAGTTTTTGATGCAGTGTTCCATGATTCATTGTTTGTGCATAACACCCAGTGCTCCACGCAGAATAAGCTTAAATAAAGTTCTTAACAAATGAGATGGAAAGAAAATGTTAGCATTAAGGCATGTCATCCTTAAAAATACAATAAACCTCCAAAACGGTTCCAAGATAGCTGTAATTGTAAATGTTCCCCCAAATCTGCATGGCACAAACCACCTAGACTCCTGCAAAGAAGCTCCCTTCCAGAAGAAAATATTCCTCTTGGAAATCCCTAACTCCTCACTCCTCTTATCCTCACTTGGATTCCCAAGCACCCTTGTATTTTTCAACTGTTCAAATTTTCCCAACTCAAATAGGAAGCCATTAACTAAAGATCATGATTTGCATTATGTAGACAGATACTGACTGTATTAAAACCATGGTTTCAAAATTTACAAGCAATTCTTGATAACATGAAGTTTCCTAGAAATTAAACTTAGATGTCTCCAAAACAGACTACTTTTTTTTAATCAACCTTTTTACATATAATCTCTTTAGATGCTAACCATGGGACCCTTCTCTCACCTAAAAATGCTGTCTTCTATTTTCAACTTTGATAAATATCTAATGAATAATAATAGCTACTATTTATGGCACGGCTACTGTAAACCAAGCACTGAACTAAAGCCATGATACACATTAGTTAATTTAATTCTCCAAGTAACCCAATGAGCCCTGTTTTACAGAAAGGAAACAAGTTCTGAGAAGTTAAATGATCTGCCCTAGGTCACCCTGTGAGCAAGCTGCAGAGCCCTAACTTGAACATGGACCCCTTTAGCTACAGCATCTACGCTTCTACAGTATATTTATATTGATTTTTCATTTTGGTTAGTAATACAGTATCTGTTATCACTTTGTCAATTTCTTCGTAAATCCTCTGACATTTTCTCAATATATTCACACAAAAGGCTTAACAGGTTCTACCGCAAAAACATCGACTTCTCTATTATTCTAACACAAATACTGTAATTCTATAGTTATGTTAATTTTGAGCTTCAGCAGCAATTATTTTAAAAGTCAAATAGCTAAACTAACTTCGTCAATTTTTCCCGTTATATAGATAACATGGTACAACTTGCACAAACTTCCCTCTTCTGTATATTACTTTAATGTTCTCTTTTGAACTAAAAACTTCTATTTAGATCTTTGTTGTGTTTACTTAGATTTATAAATTTTACAGATTTACACAGAAGCAAAAATCCACTCACTATTAAAAAAATCGTTGACATGGGGTGCCTGGGTGGCTCTGTGGTTTAGTCTTTCAATTTTGGCTCAGGTCAAGATCTTAGGGTTGTGAGACTGAGCCTCGTGGTAGGCTCCATATTCAGCAGAAGTTGGCTTGTCTCCCTCCCTCTGCTCCTCCCCCCCACTTAAATAAATAAAATCTTAAAAAAAAAAAAAGAAATCATTGCTATGTGAGGCAAGGTATAGGTGGTGAACTTCCACAGAAATGCGGCAAGAGACTATGAAAACTTTTACATAAAAGCCAAGTTATAACATTTCTAAGTGTCGGGATTTCTGATTAATATTCCATTTCACTCAAAGCACTGCAAATATACCCTGCAGGTAATTTTATTCTTAGATCCTATTTTTAAAGTCAGGAATTCTTACCATACAGAGATGGGTTATGACAAGTTTTACAAAACTGTTGAATATACTGTACATACAAAAGTATTACTTCTAATATCAAAACAGAAAGTATACATAAATATAAAATTCAGATAGTACAAATGTTTAGAATTGCATTTTTAATATGATACACTTATATAGTACTTTAAACAACCATCAGATGCAGTCACACCATATTATCTGATCCCTGTAACCTAACAATGACTGAGAATAGCACAGGTGCTGTTATTTCCTTACATTGAAAAGCTGAGGCTTAGACTTGGGTCACCCAATAGGTAAGCAGCACAGGGCCAGCCCAAAAATGTGGGACATATGTTAGTTTTCTTCTACCTTCCCTTCCACCATACCTACTACTTCCTTAGCAGTGAGCTAAGTGGAATAAATGACACTGTCAGGAATAAAAACATCTGTCTTGATCCAGAAAAGCCTTTTAGAAGAGATGCAAAAGTAGACCAAAATTGTTAAGTTAGCTAATAACATTTATAAAACCCACGTGGACTCCACCTAAAAATTGTATTCATCTTATTCATCAAAACACGTATTCGGCTGTCACTGGCAGTCTCATTCTACTTGTTTTCCTCAAGAATTTTTAATGTCATTCATCCAACAAATATTTTTTAAGCACCTACTACGTCTCAGGTGCTATTCTGGGCACTGGAAACAGAGTAATAAAACCTCTACGTTTCTGCCCTCTCTGAGGTTATATTCCAGGAGGAGAGAGACAAACAATACAAAAGTAAAATAATCAGTGTATTTGATGGGGCATAGCGTCTATACAGAAAAATTTAAAAGGAAAAGAAGTTAAGGAATGGGCGTGTGTACTGAGGAGCAAGGGAAAGAAAAACGTAGGATGTTATATACACGTTCACCTTGCAAAGTTTATTACCCACATTCAACAGCTGTTAAATAAGTCATCAAAATACTAGATATGTGGGAAGAGAATTTACACACTCCTGACATTTCCATCCTCTCATATTTCACGAAACAAAAAGAAAATCACTCGGCTTCTTGGCACTGCTGTTCAGAAGCGAGATTTATGGATCAGACCTTGTTTCTTTAAGGGAAAAGCAAGAGCACGGCAAAAAGTTCGCGAAGTGGCAATAATACCAGTTTGGGAGAGAAGAATGAAAACAATCGGGTGTGCCTCAGTGTGCCGAACTCGTGGCGATCACTCGCTGCCCCGCGGCCACCGCCCTTCAAATAGGGAGCGGACGCCCGGCTCCGTCGGTTTCGCGTTCATCCCAAACTCGGTCCTCCAGGGGCCCCCAGAGGCCTGGCCTCCACTAATCTCCAGTCCTAGCCGGCCCGACGCACTCGGCGCCCAGGGCCGGCCACCCCCCGCCCCCCAGCCCGCCCGCCCGGAGCCAGCTCGGCAGCGCAGGGGCCGCCCTCGCCGCCCGCCGGCCCCTAGCCGGCTGCCACGTAACCCTTCGCGGGAACCAGGAACTGCGCGGCGCGGCCCACGGGAGGGGACGGGACGGGGAAGGGGACTGGGAAGGGGGCGGGGGCGGGGTGTGCGCGGCGGCTAAGGGGGCGACGCGGCGGCCCCCGGCTCCTACGGGCGGCGGCCAGGCCTGCCGGGGCTCGGCATCCCGAGGCCGGCGTGGGGCACGGCAGGGCACGGCAGGGCAGGCCTGTACCTAGGAGTCCGGGGGCCGGCAGCTCCCCCCGGTCCGGTCCCCCGCGGTCCTGGGCCGAGGGGCCGAGGCTGGCAGCCCGAGGAAGGGGCGGCGGGGCGGTTGGGGTGCGGGGCGGACTCACCTCGAACATGAGCCCCAGCAGGAAGACCATCGCCACACAGGAGACGATGTCCGCGTGATTCTGCAGGATGAATTCGTGGCTCAGGACCGGGGGGCTCTTAGTGCTTTTCTTGCGAATCGCCATGGTGAAGCCACCGCCCGTGCCTGCAGGTGCTCCTCCCCGGCTCCGCTCTTTTCAGCTGCTCACCGACTAGCTGCCGCCGCCGCCTCCCCCTGACTGCTCCTCACAGCCCCGCCGCTGCCGCTCGCTGGGGCTTCACTTCCCATCCCACAGCCAGTACGCAGCCGCCGGGGCCGCCCGAAAAAAAAAAAAAAAAAAAAAAAAGAAGGCGAGCCCACAGCAGGGGTGAGCATGCGCACCGGGGAGACGGCGCTCGCTCGTGCCGGGGTCGCCCCTGCGAGCCCACAGCGCCGCCTGGGGACCGGAGGCCGTCGGCCCACGGCCCCTCTTGGGTAAGGAATAGGAGCGGCACGCCCACTGCTCCGCTCCAGGATGGAGGTTGGGAGTCGTTCGTTGGAGGCGCGAGCTTCCTGCGCCTAGTTAACAGGCGGACTCCGCGGCAGGTCGAGAATGGCCACGTGCTGTGGCGTGCATGGCCGCAAGCATGCCTTCCCGCCCTCCTGGACACTCTGGGCTTGGGTGTCAGTGCTTGCTTCCATATAGATTGTCGCTTTTTGTAAGCCAAAGCCACCACTACGGTAATCTAAACATAGGACTATACAGCCTCACTACACAAGGGTAAGATGCATTCTTCAGATTGATTGATTGATTGATTTGAAGATTTTATCTGACAGAGAGAGAGAGACAGCCGGAGAGGGTACACAGCCGGGGGAGCAGGAGAGGGAGAAGCAGGCTTCCCGCAGAGCAGGGAGCCCCATGGGCCTCGATCCCAGGACTCCGGGATCATGACCTGAGCCGAAGGCAGACGCTTAATGACTGAGCCACCCAGGCTTCAGTTTTAGCATCTTAAAAATTAACTTCAGAGTTATTTTAAACACTCCTGGGGAGTAAAAACAAAAACAAAAACAAAAACCCATTTGTTGAAAGCTTGAACTAGTTTAGTTTTTCTTTTTTAAAAAGAACACTTCCTATTCCGTCCCACCTACCCATCCCCATCCCTCCCTGCCTCTCACTGAAGACCATCGGGATTAGTTTGGGTTTACTTGCTTGATACTTATTAACATTTCTTAGTAATCTAGAGAGATGGTAAAAAAAGGTTTGTGGACTAGACAGATCTTCCTCTTTCATCTTTCTACCCAAACCAAGACTCCTTTGTCTTCTTTCTCTTAAATTGCACCATTCTTTACCCATTTGCCAAATCTAGAAACCAAAATCATCCTGGACTGATACGTTTCAACATCCTTCCACATCCAAACTATTATCACGCTCAGGTAATTCAGGCTTCCTTTTCCCCCTTACCGCTGCCACAGCCTCAGGAGGAGACTTACATTTTACCTACAAAATTACAACTTTGTTGAATTGCTGAGTGGTTTAAGATGATGGGTTTTTGAGTCAGAATTCTGCCACTTATTACCTGAATGACCGTGGACAAGTTACTTAATCTCTGAGACTCGATTTCCTCATTTATGTATTCATTTACTCAAAAAATGTTGAGCGTCTATCCATATGCTAGGCACTGGGGATACAGAACTGAAGGAAAAATACAAATTAACCTGTTCTTAGGAGCTTTCATTCTAGAGAGGGGAGAGGATCTTTAAACAGGATTTAGAAAGTGAAACATGTTAAGTTGAGATGAGGGTCCTGGAGAAAAATAAAGCAAAGGGAATAGGAAAAGTACAGGGAAGTTACATTTGCCTGAAGACCTAAAGGAGGCAAGGGACCAAGCTATGAAGCTATCATCTATAAAGAGAAGATGATTGTAATTAAATGCAATGCAATTACATGAGATGAGTCCAGGAAAGTGCTTAGTAGAGAGTTAGGGCTCTCTACACGTTAGCCATTACTGTTCTCCTTTCTGGTCAAATGATTACTAGTTTGACTTACCTCCAAATCACCTTTCAGTTTTTACATTAGAATGATGCATCTAACAGGTTCAGAATTTTTTGGTTGGTTTTCCTCTTCCTTCATGGAAATCTAGCAGGACAAAACAGCCCTTCGTGATTTGACCCCTGCCTACCCAGACAGGCTCAAACCCAATCTCAGTGTGAGCATTTCCGACTCCACATACTGTACACTCTAGGTCACGCTCTTTTCCCATGCTCCCTGCAGCTTTAGCCTGTTGCTGCTTCTGTCTGGAATGTTTTCTCCTATCTTCTTCATACACACAGCATACTCCCACTGTGCCTTCAAGTCTCATTCATCTGTGATCTCTTTGAAACCTTTGCTGACTTCTGTGACTGATCTAGGCATTCTGTCTCAGGATTCAATTGTATTTTTTGAAAACAAATTTTAAAATTTTAAGTTAAAATTTTATATTTTTTATAATTTATATCACACAGTTCACCTATTTCAAGTTACAATTTGGTGGTTCTTAGAACATTAAAAAAGTTGTGCAGCCATCCCCATATTCTAACTTTAGAGCATTTTTATCACCCTCCAAAAAAATCCTGTACATGTTACCACTCACTCTCCATTTTCCCTCACGGTCTTGGCAGCCCTTGGCAACCACTGATTTACTGCCTCTCTAGATTTGCCTATTCTGACATTTCATATACATAGAATTGTGGTCTTTTGTGACTGGCTTCTTTCACTTAAGATAAGTGAGGGTTTTGGGGTTCATCCATATTGTAGCACGTATCAGCATTTCATTCCTTTTTATGGGCAAAATAATATCCATTGTATGGATATATCTCATCTTCTTTATCCATTTATCAGTTGATAGACGTTTGGTTTGTTTCCACCTTTTGGTGATTGTGAGCAATGCTGCTGTGAGCATTAGTGTGTAAGTTTTATATGAACGCTTGTTTTCAGTTCCTTTGGGTGTATACCTAGAGTTGCTGGTCACATGGCAACTTTATGCTTTACTTTTTGAGGACCTGTCAGACTGATTTCCAAAGGGGCTGCACCATTTTACAATCCCACTGCAATGTCTGAGGGTTCCGGTTTCTACTCAAACTTTCCAACATTTGTTATTTTCTTTCGGTTAATTTTTTCCATCCCAGTGGTGTAAGGTAGTATCTTATTGTGTCTTAGATGGTGTCCTTCGAAGCACAAAAGTTTTCAATTTTGATGAACCCCAATTGATCTGTGTTCTCTTTTATCATTTGCTCTTTGTGTACTGAGAAATCACTGCTTAGGGGCGCCTGGGTGGCTCAGCCGGTTAGGCATCTGCCTTCTGCTCGGATCAAGATCTCAGAGTCCTGGGATATGGTCCCAAGCATTTGCCTTCTGCTCGGGTCAAGATCTCAGAGTCCTGGGATGGAGTCCTGCATGGGCTCCCTGCTCAGCGGGGAGCCTGCTTCTCCCTCTGCCTTCCTCCCCCCCCACTTGTGCTCTCTCTATCTTACTCTGCTCTTTCTCTCTCAAATAAATAAATAAAATCTTAAAAAAAAAAAAGAAATCATTATGTAATGGAAGGCGACAAAGATTTACTCCTGTGGGGGAGGCCAGGGGGCAGGGGACAGAACATGGGGGAGAAACAAAGGTGATCAGTTGGGGAGGGCAGCCCTGGGTGGGACAAAGCCTCAGTTGGAATCAGAGTCCAAGGAGTCCCCTGAGGAAGAGGAGCTGGGGCTGCTGCCCTCAGACTCCTGGTCCTCATCCTCGTCGTCCTCCTCGTTCTCAACTCCGTCCTCACTCTTGTCCTCGCTGCTCGACTCGGAGGATTCCCCGCCATCCTCAGAGGAGTCCCCGTTCCCATCGTCGTCCTCCTCTTCATTCTCGTCCTCGTCCTCCTCGTGCTCTTCCGCGTCCTCCTCGTGCTCTTTCCGCTTCCTCCTCGTGCTCTTCGCGGTCCTCCTCAGACTCCGACTTGGACTGCAAGGCAGTCCGGCTGGACTCGGGGCCTGGGCCGCGCAGCTTGGTCATGCTCTCACGTTGATTGGAGATGTACTCTTTATATGCTGCTTGGTGCTGGGGAGACAGACTCTTGACGCAGAGGTGCCGGGGTACTTTGTACTGCTTCTGCTGTTCCTCCGCCAGTTTTTGTAGTGCTCCTTCTGGCTCTGGGAGATGCGCTGCCAGCGACCGCCTAGCTCCACCATGCGCTCTTTCAGTGGCAGGTGGTCAGCTCCCCGTTGGACAGCAGCTCCTGGGAGAACTTCTGGTAACCGTTCCTGGGAGGCTTCTTCGGTTCTCCGTGGAACGTCATCTTCTTGGATGAGTTTGCAGCAGCGGGGGGCGCCCGCACCTCACTCAGCTCTCTCTCGTTTCGCTTTTGGTCTTCGGCTGCCTTCTTAATCCACATCAGTTTCTCCTTCTTCTCCACGTTGTTCCAGGTCATCTCCATGGCTTTCAAGGCCTTCACCCGGTCATTCTTGAAGCGGGCCAGGTAGTCCCCGATGACGCTCTGCTGCCAGATCTCCTCAGCTCTCTTGGGTGACTCTGGCAGCTTGTCCCGTTCCTCACGGTCCCCGCCCGGCTTCCTCTCCAACTGGGCCTTCAGCGCCGCCTCCCGGGCCTTGTACTTGGCCTTCTTCTTTTCCGACAAGTCATTACACATGCGGGCCAGAAGCCGGGTCAGCTCGCTCTCCGAGAGCTCGGGCTGCTCCTCTTGCAGCTGCCGTCGCTTCTCTTCAGAGAACATGAACATGGCTGACACCGGCCCCTTGGGCTTCTCGGAGCCGCCCTTGCCCCCTTCCTGTGAGGGCTTCTTGGAGGCTGGGCTGGTGGCTTGCTTCTTGTTGATGCTTAACATCTTCTCCTCCCCAAAGACCCGCTGCTGTTCCTCCTCAGGCAGGCTCTCTAGGAAACGGAGCAGTTCCACCTCATAGCCTTTCTTTTTCTGGTCACACTTCTTGTGGTAGGCAGCCTTCTCCTTCTGGGAGAGCAGCTTCCACTGCTGGCTGCACAGGACCATGCGCTTGGTGCTAGGCACGTCCTTCATGTTGGCCATCAGCTCGCCTCAGTACAGCGAGTAGCTGTTTGGGAGGTGGGTTTGTGGGTCACCCATCAAACTTGTCCTTGAGCTGGCGTTTGGCCTTCGTGAGGGTGGACTTGGTGATGCCCTCCTCACTGATGTTCAGCTCAGGGTGTTTCTGGATATATTCACGCATAATCTCCTCATACTCCTTCTGCTGCTCCAGGGCTTTATGAATCCATTTCAGCCTCTTTTGGTCCGAGAGCTGAGACCACTGCTTCCCCAGGGAGTCCTTCACCTCCTTCGCAGTGGCGTCGGGCCGCACTTTGAGGTACACCTTCTTCTCGTGGGTGTACCACAGCTGCTGGGGGGTTTTTGGGCTTCTCGGGGATGTCCAACTTCTTGGCATTCTGGAATAGGTCAAGGTGATCCTCCCTGAACCGGGCCAGGTTTCGCTCGAACTCCTGTTTCTCTCTCTGGAAGTCCTGAATATATTTCATCTTCTTCTCTGGCAGGTCCTTGTATTTCTTGGACAGAATCTTGGTCAGGTCCAGGTTGCTCATCTCAGGGTGGAGCATTGCGTACTTGGCCTGCTTCTCCATGAAAAAGTGGAAATAAGGGGTCAGGGGCTTCTTTGGGAAGTCTGGGTGTTTCTTGAGTTTTTTGCCTTTGTAAGGATTTTTAACATGTTCCTGAGCATCAAGGATCAATTCTGTCAATGTTCAGAACTTCCTCACCTCGTTAGAAATGTCCACCCATTTGAGCTTGCACGTGTCTCCAGAAAAGTCTTTAAATGCTACTTTTTCCCAGTCCATATGTGACTCGGTGGTTTTGAACTTGGAGCTGTCATTGGATGGAAGTTGTTCTTCATACATTCCAGCAAAGTCAGCATGTCTTCCTGAGACCAGCGGTCTTGGCCTTTGGGGGCGGCCATTTCCAGGTCTGTGGGGCAGTCAGCTTCTCGGTTCATTCGTTAGCCGTCCAGCCACCTCCTCCAGCCACCTCCTCGGGTCGTGCTGGCGGGGCAACCCGCGGTAAAACCACCTCACCCTTAAGGAGAAACACCAGTCCCCACTCGGGATGCGAGGTGAGGGACTTTCTATTCCTCCCTTCCCCAAAGGGGAGGGGGGCACAAGTCCACACTCTCGCGAAGACCCTTCCAAGACCCTAGTAGACCTAACGGGTCGGTGGGTGTGGGAGTGCGCCACCCCCTCCCCCCCGCCCCTGCAGCCCGGCTTCCCCGCGTGAGCCCTCCCCTGCCCACGCGAGAGACTGCTCCCAGCTCCCGCGTGCAGCTAGCACCGGCTCTCCGCCCTCCTCCTGTGTGTTTTTTTTTTTTTTCTAAGAGCTTTACAGTTTTAGCTTTTGCATTTAAGTCTATAATAAATCAGTTGTATTTTGTACCTCTTTTGATCGCTTCTGATTTCTCAGTAAAATATGAAACGAAATCATCAGGAGTGGGGATGGTATAATGGAGTTTGAAGAGAGGATGGGGTAAAACTGGCAGGGTGAATGGATTGCGGGAACATAATCAGAAAGCAGAGCCTCCCTGAGACTTGTGGACATAAATTCAAAGTGACACTTGTCTCCAGTCACACCCCTTGCTTGGATCCAGGTGTGGAGAAGGCAGAATGCTGGGTTTTGCAAGGCCTGTGTGGTAGAGGGGCAAGGATGTTGAGGATGTTTGCAGATAAGGGCAGGGCTAATGAAGTGAACGCTGTTAGGCATGGCTGTGCTCCAATCCTCTATCACTCTCCAGCCTATAGTCCACCCTTTTCTGCTGTGAAAGGCAAACCTCTGCAGGCTGCATCCCTGAGACTCCCTTGCCCTCTGACTTCTAGTTGAATTCCGCTGAGGGAAGGCACTGGCCAAAAATCAGGAGAGTTTTGGGGATTTATTGTCCCTTGATTCCTCCTTGCTTTACTGTTTCTGGCAGTGGCTGTTTTTCTGTGGTCCTAACCCTTGTCAGGTAACCCTTCTCTGTTCAGCTCTCCCTGGGCTCGGTGAGCTCGTTCTCTCCCTGGCTTCTTCAGGCTGTTGGTGGTAATGGCTTCCCACATTCCTAATCATCAGGAGCTTCCCTATCTCTTGTCCGTTCCCTCCACTTGCCCACTCCTCTGTGAACAGGCGCTTCATTAAACCCTCTCCAGCTAAACCCTTCTGAACGTACCATCTCTTCCTTGCCAGTTCTCTGACAGATGCAAAGGACAGAGAAATAGTGCTAGGGCCTCTGAATGGGGGGCGCCCATGGGGTTGAAGATGGTTGGAGTGGGGCTAGTTGGTTGAGAGGAAGTGGTCAGGGAGTTGGATGCTGGGAGTGAGTTCACATGTTGTCATTGGTCATTGGCCAGGAGATGGCAAGGGTATGATGAAGGGAGGGAGTGCTGAGGTGGATGGAGGAGGAATGTACTGGAAGTGAGGAGTCAAGGCACCAGGAAGCTAGGGTGCTTGACACACACTTTTACATGGATGTTCAGTCACCAAGAATGACTGGAGGAGTAGAATGGGAAGGAAGCCAGGAAATGAGCCAGGTGCTAACGTCTGACATAAATGAAGAGGAGTCAGAGAGTTTAGCAGATGATTGCCACAGGGAGATAGTGGGTGGTATAGTTGGAGGGCATGGGCTTCCAGAAGAGCTGGGGTTTTTGAGCGAGGGAGGAAAACTGTCATCAGCCATAAGGATCATGAAAAACACCCACTCCACCCCTGGTAGTATGTGAGGAGCGAGAGGGAAGAAACAGCCACCTTTTGACAAGGCACTAAGGAAAGCAGGTTTCAGTTTGCAGTTAGAGCTGTAGCAGGCTACTGCATTAGAGGGTGAAGAAAATATTCAGAAAGTGGTGGAAGGTGTGGAGGATTTGGCAGATTACACAGCTGGGGTTCCAGGGGATAAAGTATAGAAGGGTTTAGGGGCCAGGGGGTTGGATTTTAGTTTATGTCACCAAGGGGATGAGCAGAATCATGGGGGGGAAGAGAAGATGGTGACAATCGATGACACTGGAGGTTTGCTTCTGGAGGGTACCAAGGTGGAAAGTGTTCTGATGCATGGTGGAATTATTTTCATGGTCTTGTAGGGAAAAGCAGGGAATCTGTTCTAATTTTAACTTCCTTTTTAGGATTGGCCTCTTAAAGAGTTTATAAGGAGGGGTGACTGCCTTTGAATCCTCTCAGGCTGGGTCATGGTAGTGGGGAAAATGGTCTTACCAAGGCCCTTGGGGCTCTGGAGGCTTCTTTCAAGCAGACTGGTTGCTCAGGTATGTCCCACTCTGGAGGCCATTTTGTGTCCAGCCCAGTGCTGACCACAGTACTATACAGCGTACAGTAACCACATTCTGGATAAGTGATTTTTGGGCAAATGTAGCTCGGGCCCTCAGACGTTGGGATTCTTAGGATACTTCCAATGATGTAGAAAAGGACAAAAGGCAGATTATATGGATTTGGGTCTATCCAGGAAGATCTTTGGCATAGGGTTGCTACAGTTATGAGAAATACAAAAGAAACAAAGATGATCTTTGCCCTGAAAGATCTCTAGTTGGCCACCTTAGACCTATACGAGGATGAAAAACACTTCTGAGAGGATGTGAGAATGAAATGCAAGAAGGTGCCTAAAAAAAGTGAGAACGAAAGTGGGACTGTTGCATTTTCACCTTCCTAGATTCCAGAAGGATGAAGGATGAGGAACTGTTTGTTGCATGCCTACTATGTTCCGGGTATTTTGCTTTCACATGGGTTAGAGCATTTAGTCTTCCCAAAAACCCTATGAAATAGGTGTTATTATTTTAATTTAAATGGGGAAACTGAGGCTCAGAGAAGTTAAACAATTTGCCCAAAGTCACGGGGCTGGTGATCTGTTTGCCAAACCCATTCTTGTTTCATGTAAGTACTACTCCAGGAGCTTCACTTAGCAGGAAGATGTTGAACTTGTAGGGGGCAATGATTGTCAACCTAATCCATTCCAGAGGATAGTCCTGCCCTGAGAGAAACACAGTACTTTTTTTTTTTTTAAAGCAGGTCATTGATCTCTTTAAATGCCATTGTTATATCATTTACAGTAAGTTTCTAAAATACAAAATTGTGTTCATATTATAAGGAAGAAATTATATTTCTACGAGGAAGCAAATTCACTCCATTAATAGTTGGAAACTATATAATTTCCTTGAGTATAATTTTTACTGCTATGGAAACAATAAACCAAATTCATAATGCAGTATTGTTACTAGTAGGAAAGACTGGCAGGAGAGGACACATCACACCTGGAGGTGGTTGAGGGAGGGCTGGCTGGTAAAGATGATGAAAGTCTGTGACCCACCTAGACCACTCCTGTGTCCTTAGGGCTAGGACTGTGATCTTATGACTCTGGAAGCTTAAGGGACCCAAGGTAGACTTTCTCTCCTTTAACCTATAACTTATTTCACTTTATTTCATCTTGCTTTATTTAATACATCAAGGGCCCGAGTCAAAGCTTCTCTGATAGAAGAGAGATCAGTTTCAGAGAGTGGTGCAAAGTGAAGATAGGGAAACAAGAGTGTAAATGCATCCAAGAAGTTTAGCTTTGAAGAGGAAGAGAGAGCAGGGTATGTAACTAAAGAGGAATAAAGGATCCAGGTAGGTTTTGTGTTTGCTTTTGAATGATGTGACAGTTGTGCATGTTTAGATGACAAGAAGGAGGGATGAGAGGAAGAGGTTGAAGACACTGGGGCAATGGGGAGAGGTGGGAATGATGGACTGAGGTCTCTGTGGTTTGGGATCCACCAGAACATAGGTAGAGGGTTACATTTACATAGGAGGGGACACCAGTTTTCACACTGAAAGGACGGAGAAAAGGTCAGGAGAGACAAGGCAGTCATGGATCTGCGAGTGGAGGTTCTCCCACATGGGTGATGAGATCAGGAGAGGCAATGCAAGGAAGACTGGGAGCCAGATTCCTTTTCTGAATGAATGAATGAATGAGTGGGGAGACTAATGGCAGTATGGGTGGAGGGAAAGATGGCTGAAGGAGCAGGGGTTTTTCAGGAGTAGGGTGGCACTGTAATGGTTTGGAGAGGGAGGGGATTGTCAGCCCCTCCTAAGAGAGCTGAAGGAGATTGGTGGTTTGAGGGGAGGGCTATGATACAGTCAAAGCAACTAGTGAAGGGAATGTTGGGTGTAACAGTTGAGGATGGAGGGGAGTTTGTTTATAGTGGGATGGATTATGTTAGTTGTAATTCTTTTAGTTGCAAGTGACTGAAAGAAGATGTATTGGGCTAAAAGTTAACAGATTGGAAAAAAAAAAGCTTCAGTATCTGGAGTGTGTTGTGGATCTTAGAAACTAGAACCAGGCATTTGACCTCATTGGGACTCTCAACACATCTTTTTTCTGTCTTTTGTTTCAGCTTGCTTCATTCTTCCCTGTTGTAATTGGAATTCACTTACATGGCAGAGAACATGGTCACTTGGAAGTTCTGTCAGAATAATCCCAAGGAGATACCTACCTAGACCAGTCTGGCTTGGTAGCATGATCATTTCTGGGTCAGTTTTTGGTTCACCCATTTTGGGTGACCCGCTTTTCCCTGTGGCTAGGGTAGGTGCGTTTATTACTGGAAAGTGTGGAGGAAGGGGTGTTGGGCAAATAAGAACATGAACCACCACAGGTACTCCAGAGAACATGGCTCTGCAGGTCGAGGAACAGCAGAAAGTGGTTGGATCAGGGGAGAAAAATCCAGTAGCAGCATGAACATGAGCAAATGAGAGTAATAGACGATGGGGTGACTTGTATTTGAGGCAATGGCCAAGGACTATGGAAATGCACAGTAGGAAAAGATTTCTGAAATAATCTCAGCAGACAGAAGAGGAGGTCTTAGCACAATTGTTGTGCTGCAAGAGGGTTCTAGTTCTCAGGAACAGATAGGAAGATGGTAGTAGGTAAGTGGTTCCTGGGGAGGGTGGCACATGCAGAACACAGCAGCAGATTTGGGGGATGCTTCATGAAAT